ATTCACTTTGAGTACACATTTCCTCTGGACCAGGATGTTATCCCTGCTACTGCCCCTCACCAGATTTCAAGGTCATCTGTCCCTTTATTTGAAATCCCAGAGGCTACTGCACTCTGGAGCAATGAAACACCAGATTGTGAGTATGTGAGCATTTTCTTCTATGAAATGGAAGTGGAGTCTGTGAAAGGGAGCCAGGAAAGGAGAACCAGCACAGCATGACACCCCACAGCAGAGGGGCTTCTCACACAGGTCAGCTTTTGGAAGGAGAACATGTAAAAGGTGAGGATTTGGACATCTATTCCTTTAAGACCAAGTGTGCTCATGTACAAGTTTTTGTACACACCTCAGTTTGAAGACAAACGTGCTCAGCAAAGCATTACCTAACAAACCATTTTCACTAATCATCATGTGAAAGGAAACAAAGGCAAATCAAGAGAAAAAAGTTAAAGCATATAGAACAAGACTATTCTTTCTGTCTATATACACAATGAGCGAGAGTATAAAAACATGCGTTATATAGAACAAGTTCAAGAAAGCCATTATGTTTGGGGAGAGAAGGGATGGATTAGAGGCCATCACTTAAGTTGCATTTACAGTCAGTTTACTTCTTTAAAAAAGTACTAATGACCAAAATGACAAAACAAAATTAATCATAATCGTGTACATCATGGAGGAAAATCCCACTGAATGAAAATGGCAGAGTGGGAAGTTCCAAGGCCTGTACCTCCACAGAAACACTGAAACAAGTAAGAACTGTCAGAATAAAGAACAAAACAAAACCTTTATCATAACTGTGAAAAACAGTCACAGGTTTATAGCAGCAGAGTGATCGCTCAATCAAGAAAGAGGCAACTTAAAAATGGTAGGAAAGCTCTGTGCCATTTTTATTTGCCCTTGCTTCACTCCCTCCCCAGTTTGGTAGTAGTCCTAGAGATGGGAGCCAGCATTCCCAGTGGGGGACTCTTGTTCCTGGTCCTGGAATGAGTAGAGAAGACTGTATTTGCAAAAAATTGTGTTTAACTGTTCCCACCTGTGTGAGGCCTACCTGATGGACTAATGCAATGCACTCATCCCTCTAATTTGGACCTCACACAAGATGGAAAAGCAATGGATGGTTCTCAAAAACAATGTAAGGTGGGGGCACCTGGGTGGCTTAGTTCGTTAAGCAACTGACTTGATTTCGGCTCAGGTCATGATATCAGGGTCGTGGGATCAAGCCCCAAGTGGGGCTCTGCATTCAGCATGCAATTTGCTTGAGATTCTCTCTCCCTCTCACTCTGCCTCTCCCCCCACACATGTGTACTCTCTAAATAAATAAATAAAATCTTAAAAAAACACACAAAACAATATAAGGAGGACAAACAACCTATAGCTAGCTGCCTGGGACAAAAGATTATAGCTGAGGCACAGCTGAAAGTCCAGGAGAAAAAGCTGGGAAAAGAGTTTCTTAGGGAACTTAAGCCATTCAAAAGTCCCAGGGCATACTGGGGAATTTATAAAGCCTGTTTTTCTTACAAAAAAGAAAAAGGAGGGCGCCTGCGTGGCTCAGTTGGTTAAGCGACTGCCTTCGGCTCAGGTCATGATCCTGGAGTCCCGGGATCGAGTCCCACATCAGGCTTCCTGCTCAGCAGGGAGTCTGCTTCTCCCTCTGACCCTCTTCCCTCTCGTGCTTTCTATCTCTCATTCTCTCTCTCTGAAATAAATAAAATCTTTAAAAAAAAAAAAGAAAAAGGAAATAACAAGTGTTGGTGAGTATGTGGAAGAAATGGAAGCCTCATAACCACTAATGGAAATGTAAAATGGCACAGCCACTTTGGAAAATAGTCTGGTAGTTCCTCCAACAGTTAAACATATTTACCATGTGACCCAGCAATTTCACACCACATTTATATCCAGAAGTAAAAGCATGTCCACACAAAAATTCGTACACACAAAACCCAATGAGATATCACGTGACACCTGTCAGGATAATAAAAATCAAAAACACAAGAAACAAGTATTAGCAAGGATGTCGAAAAATAGGAACCCTCATACATTGCTGGTGGGAATGCAAACTGGTATAGCCACCATGGAAGACATTACGGAAATTCCTTAAAAGACTAAAAACAGAACAACCTTATGATCCAGTAATTACACTACTGGGTACTTACTCAAAGAATATGAAAACACTAATTCAAAGGGATATATGCATCCCTAGGTTTACTGCAGCATTATTAACAATAGCCAGATTATGGAAGCAAACTAAATGTCCATTGATAGATGAACAGATAAAGAAAATGTGGTGTGTATATATACGTGCGTATATATACATAACAACATATATATTTATCACAACTATATATAATATGCATGTATTATATACATAATATATATAATATACAGTGGAATATTATTGGTATATGTTGGTATTATATGGCATATATTATATACATAATATATATCGGAATATTATTCAGCCATAAAAGAGAATGAAATCTTGCTGTTTACAATATGGATGGATCGACAGAGTATAATGCTAAGTGAAATAAGCCAGTCAGAGAAAGACAAATACCATATGAATTCATTCATATATGGAATTTAAGAAACAAAACAATGAACAAAAAAAAAGAGACAAACTGGGGTTCCTGGCTGACTCAGTCGAAGAAACTTGCAACTCTTGATATTTGGGTCATGAGTTCAAGCCCCATGTTGGGTGCAGAGGTTACTTAAATAAATAAACTTAAAAGAGAGAGAGAAACAAAGCAAAAAACAGACTCTTAACTATTAGGAACAAAATGATGGCTACCAGAGGGGGAATTGGTGAAACAGATGAGGGGGATTAAGAGTACACATATCTTGATAAGCACTGAGTAACATATGGAATTGCTGAATTACTATATTGTACAAATTAATTAACACTATGTTAATTACAATGGAATTTTCTTTTAAGTTTGTACACAAATGTTTAAGGAGATTTATTTATTTATTTTTAAAATATTTTATTCGTTTATTTGACAGAGAGAGAGAGCACAAGCAGGCAGACAGGCAGAGGGAGAGGGAGAAGCCAACTCCCCACCGAGCAGAGAGCCCTACAGGAGGCTTGATCCCAGGACCCCAGGATCATGACCTGAGCCGAAGGCAGATGCTTAACCGACTGAGCCACCCAGGTGCCCCAGGAGCATTATTTATAACAGCCAAAATGTGGAAACAACCCAAATATTCTTCAGCTGATGAAAGGATAAACAAAATGTGTTATATCCACACAATGGGATATTATTCAGGTATATAAAAAGGAATGAAGTACACATACATGTTACCACATGGATAAGCCTCTTACATTAAGTGAAAGAAACCAATCACAAAAGTGCACATAGCATGTGACTGCATTTGCATCATTTACACGAAATGTCCAGGACAGGCAAATCTATAGAGACAGAAAGATTAGTAGTTGCTACAGGTAGAACTCTAATTATATGCTTGCTGAAACATTTAGGGAAAAATATATAAATGTCTGCTACTTACTTTGAAATACATGTTAAAAAATGTAGATTAATGATTGAGAAGTGATATATGGATAGATATGGGATAAAAGAAACAAAATCACGATGACAAAATCTAGGTGGTAGGCATAAGAGGTGTTCAAATGTAAAATTCTTTAAACTAGGAACATTCTAGGGGCGCCTGGGTGGCTCAGTCGTTAAGCGTCTGCCTTCGGCTCAGGTCATGATCCCAGGGTCCTGGGATCGAGCCCCGCGTCGGGCTCCCTGCTCAGTGGGAAGCCTGCTCCTCCCTCTCCCACTCTCCCTGTTTGTATTCCCTCTCTCGCTGTGTCTCTCTGTCAAATAAAATCTTAAAAAACAAAAACAAAAACTATGAACGTTCTAATAAAAATCATAGGGAATGGGAAGTTCATAATACTAAAAATTCAGTGAAGTAAGCAGAAACAAAGTAAGTATTTTTATTTATTTTTTTTTTTTAAAGATTTTATTTATTTATTTGAGAGAGCGAGAAAGAGCACAGGTAGGGAGGAGAGGGAGAAGCAGGCTCCCCACTGAGCAGGGAGCCCGATGCGGGACTTGATCCCAGGACCCCAGGATCATGACCTGAGCCAAAGGCAGACGCTTAACCGACTGAGCCACCCAGGTGCCCCAAAATAAGTATTTGTAATGTAACTGCTCTTCTAAGAAACAGTAAATTGAAAGAGAACAAAAAGTTAAAAAACACTATTCACAATGGCAAAAAATTCAAGATCAAGGTGGGCAGGAGGGGCAGGAAACCACATGCACAGGTAAATGGAGAATCATAATCTACTTTCCCAAAAGTGATAGCTGAATATTTAAGTATTTAAATTCTATGTAAGGGCATCTGGCTGGCTTAGGTGATGGAGCATGCAACTCTTTTTTTTTTTTTAAGATTTTATTTATTTATTTGAGAGAGAGAAATGAGAGATAGAGAGCACGAGAGGGAAGAGGGTCAGAGGGAGAAGCAGACTCCCCGCCGAGCAGGGAGCCCGATGTGGGACTCAATCCCGGGACTCCAGGATCATGACCCGAGCCGAAGGCAGTCGCTTAACCAACTGAGCCACCCAGGAGCATGCAACTCTTGATCTCAGGGTTATGAGTTTGAGCCCCCCCTTGGGTGCAGAGATTACTTAAACATAAACATTTTTAATTCTACCTAAATGAATGCAGAGATTAAGTGATTCCAGTCATAATGGCACAGATTTGCCTCCTGACGGTATACACTGTTACATTAGTTTAAAAAAAAAATCAATTTTTAAAGAAAAAACTTATGGTTATTATATAGTATTTATGACATGAAACTAAATATTGAGGCAAATTATGCCAGTGTTTCAGCAGGTTACTGGAATTGTGAAACATAGAAAAATAAAGACTGAAGAGGAAATAAATGAAAAAAGTTAACAGATACTAACATCGGGGAACAGAATTGGGGTAACAGCAATGTTAGTTTACTTGTGTTACAGTGCCACCGAAAACAAACTTTTCCAAGTGTGTGCGCGTATGCTCACACACAGAGAACCTGCAGAAAGGGCAAAATCTTCATCTTTAGTAGAAACCACTTTGGTTGTCTTTAATCCTCCATTTCCAACCAAGTTCTCAGAGCTACGGGGTCGAGAGGAGATGTGTAAAGCCAAAGGCAAACTAGGGGCTCGGATTGGAGGGAAAGAAACCGTGGAACCTCAACCCACCCACCAATCTGCTTCAGCCGTCACAAACCTCTCAAGTGCCGACATACCTGGACCCCCCACCCCCGAAATAATCCCGAAACACCAGGGTTCGCTGGCCGTGCGCCCCAGCTCATCGAGCCGCAGGGTAAAACTAGAATCCGAAGTGGACAACACTTTCACTGATAAAAACCACCCGCTCCCTAGTCTTCAATCACTGGGCGCTACAGACAGAAACCAAACCCTGACCACGGACTCGGAAACGTTGATCGCCACACACCTGTAATCACTGACCCCCACAATCCTTCAGGACCGACTCCAAAGCCACCGCACCCACAGACACCCCGTCACGGGCTCCCACTTGCTTCCACTCCCCCAACGGACCCCACTCCTCCACCCACCCGGGAACCCACAGACACCTTGGTCCTCTCTTCCTGCTCCACAAACCGAACCATACACAGACCTGATTTTCTAGTGACCCCACCGCGACCTCCTCCAAGCAGCGTTTCCGCGGATCCTCCTGCCGCGGCCATGCCCGGCCTCCGCGACGGCGGCCGACGAGGACTAGAGGCGTTTCTGCGGAGCACGGCCGTTTGGACTTCCGGCTTTTCCTGGAATCAATATGTCTGCGCCCATCTGGCTACCGGTCCCCGAGGCGGCCATCCTTCAGTAATCCAGGTACGGAAGGCGACGTGGCCGTTTTGGTCAGAATAGCCAGGTAAGGCTCGGTACAGTGAAAACCTACCGAAAGGGCTCCCATTTCTTTCACCTTAAATCCTGTGCTGCAAACTGCGCTGCTTTTCAGAAGCTCGAACTTACACAAGTGAAACATGCGGTAGGCTAGTCCACCTCAGCGGGTTGGCGAGAAAAGGAATCCACTTTGCACGAAGAAGGATTTGGAAAACACATAAGGCGCAGCCATCTTAGAAGTTAGGTAACCGGGCGCGTGGGTGGCTCAGTGGTTAAGCGTCAGGCTTCGGCTCAGATCGTGATCCCAGGGTCCTGGGATCGAGTCCAACATCGGGCTCCTTGCTTAGTCGGGAGTCTGTTTCTCCCTCTCCCTCTGCCCCTGCTTGTGTCCCCTCTCTCGCTGTGTCCCTCTCTGTCAAATAAATAAAATCTTAAAAAAAAAAAGGTATCTGTACAAAAATAAAAAAATCTTTCAACGATGGAAAAAGAGCAAACATAAAGGCCAAAGGACAAATACCCTGGGAACGCTTCTGACTGGATGTGGAGGCTGAGGAAGATTTTTGAGGACAAAAAAGTATCTGGAGAAGCACTCACGGTACAGGGAGAGTGATAATGCCATCCATGGAAGTGAAAAAACAGCGACTGGGAGAAACCAAGCTTCCCTTTAGGGAGGTGGTGGGGAGACACAGTTACAGCTCAGAAAGGTGAGGAGAGCAGTCCCAACCCAATGTCCAGGTGGCAAGTTATTCACACGTGATAGTGGGCTCCCACGTGGAGCCCGTGCCAAGGGCGGGGCTTTCTGAGAACCAAGGGCCAGAATTTCTGGAAGGAATAAATAAGACAACTCCAGGGAGAATTTAAAAGTTGTACAAGAAAGGAAAAATAATCCTAGTACACTACATGGCTGAGCTATAAATAGTATTTACATGGTCATCATAATGTAAACACCAAATCTAATCCAAGCAAAATTAACATATAACTCCTGGAAGAATGAGGAAAAGTAAATCCCTATGTGCAGAGAACTGTATTTGCAGGAAGAGTGATTCTGAAGTTTCCTTTATGATAAATCCATGGATAAAGCCCCCAAATTAAAAATCCACTGCTAGTATATCCATATTACTTAAACTATCAAAATCTTTAAAAGAATAAAAAATCCTTTCAAAACTAACTCAAGCTTAAGAGAATTGCAAAATAAAACAGAACCCATGGGGCGCCTGAGTGGCTCAGTCAGAAGAGCATGCAACTCCTGATCTCTAGGTTGTGTGTTCAATCCCCATGTTGGGTGTAGAGATTACTTAAATAAATAAATTAAAACTGAGAACCACATGAGGCAGCAATTCCACTCCTACATATTTACTCAAAAACAATGATATGTCCTTAGAAGACTTACACAAGAAAATTCATAGCACCTTTATTCATAATAGCCCCAAACTAGGGTGTCTGTCAATATAGGAGAATGGGGGTAGAATAATAGTTATAAATACACACAAAGTAAACAAGCAGCTTATAAAATTAAAGAAAAACTGAAATAAGATTTTTTTTAAGATTTATTTATTTCAAGGGCGCCTGGGTAGCTTAGTCCATTGAGCATCTGCCTTCAGCTTGGGTCATGATCCCAGGGTCCTGGGATTGAGCCTCGCAGGATTGAGCCTGCTTCTACCTCTGTCTCTGCCTGCCGCTCCCCATGCTTGTGCGCTCTCGCTCTCTCTGTCAAATAAATAAATAAAATCTTAAAAAAAAAAAAAAAAGATTTATTTATTTGAGACGGGGCAGGGTCAGAGGGAGAGGGAGAGAGTGTCTCAAACAGACTCCATGTGAGTGTGGGACCTGACACAGGGCTCAATCTCCCAACCCTGAGATCACAACCTGAATGAAACCAAGAGTTGGATGCCCAACCGTGCCACCCAGGTGCCCCTGAAATAAGATTTTTATTCACCCTTAAGATAGGCAAAGATTAAAAGATTGATGAGATATTGAGGAAATAGGCATTCTGATAGACTTGGCCTTTTTTTCCCCCCATGTGTGAAGTGAGGGTAATATTTAGGTACACCATCAATAGCTTTTGATGTGGGGAACAAAGACAAAAGAAAAAAATTAAATTTCCTTAAATCTTACATCCACTGACAAGTCTTTGAGACAGGCAGAGTGACCTTCCTCTAGGAACTCAACTGCCTCAATGTTAATATTTTGCTAAGGGCAAAAGGCAGTCCTAGCTTAACATTATCCCAACCTCCACGATCTTGTAAGTCTCCTTTAACTTATAAAAATTCCTTTGGAAACTTCCTTTATCTCCACCCACCGAGATATATGTTAGCAATCAACCACCAAGCATGTGGCCCACTGATGTACATCTGAGGGGTTATTGAAGCAGGAGAGTGAAGTTCTTGTCTCAAAGGGTTGAAGAATGAATCTCACGGATAAAGGAGAGTAAGTAAAGTGATAGAGTTTTATTAAGCAAGGATACAGGAAAAGCTCTCAGGAGCAAGAGGGGTCCTGACAGGGTTGCCAACATGGGCCTCCACCAATAGTCTTTTATTTAGAACTAACCGGGGAACTTGTGGCCTTATCATTCTTGTAATGTCTTGGTTTAAGTGAGGATTGATGATAACGTCTTTAATGGCTTATTTCTTCTTTGGGGTCTGGTTATTCTTTGTTGGTCACTGTGTGACTATCATAAAAAGACACCACCTCTGACGCCCAGGGCAAGGTGGTCTGGTTTGTTCTCTTTTATCTGGTTTCATTACACCTCAGCATTTCTGGGATTCCTGTGAGTCTGATCACCTAGCCCCCTCCCTATCTCTTCCTACCTACCCCGCCTGTCTCTTACTCGGTGAGACTCTTCAGATGTCTATCTGTGGGTCATATACATCAGGGATGATTGCCACCATGTATCATGGGGGGCGGGGGGAGGATAGAGATAAAGGAAGTTTCCAAAGGAATTTGTATATGTTACAGTAGACTTACAGGATCCTGGAGGTCGGGCTAAGATTGCCTCTTGCCCTTAGTAAAGTGTCAACATCCAGGCAGTTGAGTCCCTACAGGAATGTAACTGCCCACCTCAAGGGCTTGCCAAAGGGCTGCAAGTAATAAGGAAATTTAATAATTTTTCTTCTGCCTTTGTTTCCCACATCATTATGATTAAGGTTTTATTAGACAGTAATAAATGACCTTTTCCTAACAATAGCTAGCCCTCTCAAAGTCCTAGAAACCTTGCTTCCAAAATTCCTTAGAGACTTATGCTATCCCTAACCCTTTTCCAAATTGAGTGTATATAATCAATTGCTCCTCACAATCCCAGTGCAGCTCTTTCTGCCCACAGGTCCTGTCCCCATGCTTTAATAAAACCACCTATTTACACGGAAGATGTTTCAAGAATTCTTCCTTGGCTGCTCGCTCCAAATGACAACATTTCCACATCAGCTTTCAGAGTGCTAAGTAAGATAATGTAATTACTACACCTGAAATAGTTGCCTGTTCAAAAAATGTGTATACACTTAATATAAATTAGCTATTTGTTTTAGTATCAAGTTCTTTTTAAAAAAAAGATTTTATTTATTTATTCGAGACAGAGTGAGAGTAAGCACGGGAGTATAAGCGGCGGTTGGGTGGGCAGAGGGAGAGGGAAAAGCAGGTTTCCCGCTGAGCTGGGAGCCCTCGCCCCCGGGGGCTCAATCCCAGGACTCTGGGATCATGACCTGAACTGAAAAGGAGATGATTAACCGACTGCTCCACCCAGCTACCCTCTTCCCGGGATCCAGTTTTTGAAGAAGGGTAGCAGCCAGTAAAATGTATTCATCAATAGAACCGGTTTGGGACAACAATCTAGAATTATCTACCCAACAAATATTTTTCATTCCCTTTGACTCAATTCCAATTTTAATAATTACTTCACTAGAAATTATATGTGGAAACATTTGAGTTGAGATAAAAACCTTTTAAGAAATTTCTACCAACAATTTCTAGTCTTCTATCCCCCACATTTCTCCACCCTCTACCTTGGTGATGAGCACAGCCTCACTACTAGCTCTACTTAAGCACGAGCCCTCTCACCTTTCACCCTGGAGATGTCACCTAACCACCACCACCAGTCCTGGCAAGAAGAGATCTTTTCCCTAAACTGAATTAGTAGTTTACTCTGTGCCCACAGTGAGGCCTACTGCCTCTGTCGTACTACTTTGGCTTCTCGAAACCCTATACCGTCCTCTCTCTATAAGCACTCCCTAAGGTTGCTCCAATGGTTTCCACCCCTTAAAGGACAACTCCCTTTCCTGTACGGACAAGTGCTCCTTTTTCAAGATGGTCGCGCCGCTATAAAGTTTTGCGCTTGGCACGCACCAGCCCGCAAAGCGGAGCGACGACCTTTGGGCTTGGTGCGCCTTCGGAAGCCATAGAGACGGGAGCATGCGCATTGCCCTTTGTGGCGCTCACAACTGACGTAAGGCGGACTAGTACTATTCTCTCGGGCAGAAAAGTGAGTTGTACGACCGGTCTTCCAATATGGCGACTCCCACATATATTGACCAAGAGGGCGCCGCCATACTCTCTCACAGTGTCTTTGTCTAAAAGACCGAAAGTTGAACGGAATCTTCGTCAGTGGAAGGACGCCCCCGGGGTGGTGGTTTGGCAGCCTGTAGACTCGGATGCCACAAATGTTAAACTTGACTTTGTGAGGTGGAACAGTCGCGTCTGAAGCCGAAGTGATGGGCCGTGGCTCTTTCCACCCTCCCAACTGGTGCGCGAAGGCTCTATTAAGGGGTCTCAGTTTCGCGTTCTGGGAGCGGAATAAGGTTGAGCGAGGTTTGTGGAGATTTGGAGTTAATGGTAGGGGAGGCTTGGGTTGTCCGTGAGAGAAACAAGCCGTTGTGGGGTGGGAGATGCATTCCATGATTTGAGGGAGCGGGGTAGTAGGAAATGGTGCAGGCCTGGGGATGGTCCGGGATTGGAGTGGCCTGGAGAAAGGTGTTAGAGCTTGGGGTATTGCTTTGTAGGGGAGGTCAGTGACTGGGGCGATCTTGGAGGCAAATCAGTGATTGGCGTTACCTAGACAGTGGATCAGCGATTTGGATGCGCTTGGGATAGGTCAGTGATTGGGGCGTCTTTCAGGTAAGGTCACTGACCGAGGATGAATGATGGGAGGTCAGTGTTTGGGGTGTTCATGAAGGAAGTCAGGAATGGGGGTGTCTTTGAAGGTGTGTGTCAGTGCCTGAAAAGGAATTATGGGGAAGATTAGCACTTAGGACGGCCTTGAGGGGCTGTCAGCAATTGGACCATCCTTGGAAAAAGGTCAGTGACTGAAGAATCCTTGGAGCATGTCACTCATCAGGATGTCCTTGGGACGGTTTACTAATGCCACTGTCCATGGTGGGAATATTCATGGTGTTGGGAGGGTGGGGGTTCAGTGATTGAGACATCTGTGGTAGATAGTTTAGTGCTTTTTTTTTTTTTAAGATTTTATTATTTATTTGAGAGCGAAAGTGAGAGAGATCACACACACAGGGAGAGGTAGAAGCAGGTTCCTCGGCTGAGCAGAGAGCCCAACCTGGGGCTCGATCCCAGGACCCAGGCAGGGATCATGACTCCAGCCGAAGGCAGACACTTAACCCGGCTGAGCCACCCAGGTGCCCCTAGTTTAGTGCTTTTGATGTCCTTTGCTTAAGTCGATGTTTGGGATGTACTTGGGGGGGAGGGATCAGTGATTGAGTGATCTTTGGGGGTGGTCAGTGAATGGGGTGGCTTCTGGGGAGTTCAGTGCTTGGGGCAGCTTCGTTTCTTATCTTTGAGGGTCTCCAATGGCTATTTTATTTTTTATTTTCTGGGACATATAAAAGAGCTATTTTTTTTTTTAATCTTTCTTTACTGAACTCTTATTTCTAATGTAATTACTAATTGATTCTTGTAGGTTTTCCAGGTAAGCAGTTAGAACACCTGCAGGTAAGTTTAACTCAGAGAAAAGAATATGGACTTTGGATTTGGGCAGACCTAAGGTTTTTATCCATATTCTGCCACTTTACTATGTGAACTTGAGCAAGTTTCTCAACCTCTCTGAGACTCTTTTCCATTTGTTAAACAAAAACAAAAAATAAACTGTGCTAACTACTCATACAGTTAAAGATCACACAGTAGATACCCAAGACAGGTTAGCAAGCAGTATTCCAGTATTTATACCTGTTTCTCTGGGTTTTTTAGGTTTTTAAAAATTTCTCACTGGACTTTCCCCCCCCCCCATTTCTTAGTAATGGTCTTTCTCTAAGTGCAGATTTAGTTTTGAGTACAGTTTTGGTAAAATTACATAATTTAATGATGACAGGTTTGTTTGTATTTCTTTATTATAAAATAATTGTTTTCCCTGCTCATGCTCTCTCTCTGTATCTCTGTGTCTCAGATGAATAAATAAAAATCTTAAAAAAATAACAAAATAAAGTAATTATGTTTATTGAAAAATAAGTCATCAGGTAATACATATTACTTTTTTTTTTTTAAAGATTTTATTTATTCGACAGAGAGAGACACAGCGAGAGAGGGAACACAAGCAGGGGGAATGGGAGAGGGAGAAGCAGGCTCCCCACAGAGCAGGGATCCCAATGCGGGGCTCGATCCCAGGACCCTGGGATCATGACCTGAGCCACCCACGCGCCCCACTTTCTTTCTTTAGACTATCATATTAACCTACCACCTAAAGAAACCATATATTTGTGTATATCTAAAATACATATATACATACAAATAAGGACTCAAACAACTCAGAAAAATCTGTTAGACTCACACAATTTCTGTAATCCCCAGGTCCTGGCTTCCTGGGATAAAATAGTTCTTATGAGGGAAGGAAGTGAAGGTACGAAGATCAACACTGCATCCTTGACCAGAGACCTTGAACTAGAGCTTCAGAATAGAGCCCAGAATCAACAACAGAGCAGATATTAGACTTTCTGATGGTATATAAGGGCTCCAGAAAATGTCCAAGTCCCAAGTGAGTTTATTTAAATATTTATTTTCCATTAGGCCTTCCGTGGGTTTGAGGAGGCTTAATAATACGTGTATTAAAAGAATATGTTTATTTGTATTTATGAGGACTACTCTATACCAGATATAGCATGAAGAGATAAATGTCAGAATTTGGGAAAAAGTTAAACAAAGGATCAAGTTCACAGCCAGGCTGCTACAAGAATATGTAAATCGTATGTTTATACAAATTATTATTACTATTTTTTAAAGATTTTGTTTATTTATTTGAGAGACACAGAGATAGCGAGAGAGAGCATGAGCGGGGAGGAGAAGGAGAAGCAGGCTCTCCACTGAGCAGGGAGCCTGACGTGGGGCTCAATCCCAGGACCCCAGGACCATGACCCGAGCCAAAGGCAGACGCCCAACTGACCCAGCCACCCAGGTGCCCCATTATACAAGTCGTTTTAAGTTAGAACATAGATTATAACCCAGAAAGTTCTAAACAGTTTATAAAATCGAGCTACAAACTTGTCTTTAGTATTCCCCGTCCCACTTATCCATTGCTGCGTATCAAGTCACCCTGAAACCTGGTGGTGTGCATTTATTTTTAATCCATTCTCATGGATTCCGTGGGTCAGGAAGTAAGAAAGGGCCCATGGTGGTGTCTTACATGTTTGTAGGTTCCCAAGACCACTCTCAGGTTCAGTGATTTGCTAGAAGAACTCAGAGTACTCAGAAACATTGTTATACTCACAATTATAGTTTATTACAGCAAAAGCAAAAAGGTACATAAGGCCTGAACCAGGAGACACCAGGCAGAAGCTTCCACTTGTTCTGAGTGGACTCATGTAGACGGTGTTGGATTTTCCCAGCAATGACTTGTAACAGCACATTTTGAATACTGCTAGTCAGGGAAGCTCACTCAAGCCTTCATTTCCAGGGTTTTTATTTGGGTTGGACACATAGGCAATGCTGACTACACGAATGGCTGACTTTAGTCTCCAGCCCTTTCAGAAGTCAAGCTGCCATGGTGCCCAAGTCTCCCACCATAAACAACATTGATAGTATGAATTATCTGGTGTAGCCCAAGGCTCTCAGGTAAAGATATTTCTAGGACTTCCTATGTATGAACAGGTAAGCCCCAAACCTTTCTTTGGCATGTGCAGGGTGTGGACAACCCAGATTGCCGTGTTCATCCTTCATTGCACAGTTTATCTTCACACGGTGATGTCTGAAACCTCAGCTGGGAAGACTCAAAAGGTTGGGGACTGGAATCATCTGAAGGCTTTTTCATTCCTCTATCTGTTTTCCAGGATGACATGACTCAAAAACTAGACAGCTGAGGCTCTTGACTGGAGTATTTATGCATGGTCTCCCTTTGTGGTTTGGGCTTCTCACAGCATGATGCTAGATTCTAAGAGAACCAGACTGAAACTGCATGGCCTTTTCTGCCTTAGCTGCAGAAGTTATGCATCATCACTTCTGCTGCATCATCTTTGTTACAAGGAAGTCCCTAAGACAAACTAGATTCAAGGGAAGGGGAATAGGCTCTACCTCTTGATGGGAGAGTGACAAGGTCACATTGCAGAAGGTTTGGAATGGGACATACTATTGTGGTAATGCTTGGGAAATATAATCTCCCACATGGCCAGCAATAAAAAATCGTTGGCGATTTGCCTTAAGGAGAAAGCTCCTCTAGAAAAGTAGATCGTTCCTGTCATGTAAGTAGGAAGAAATGTCTTTGATAGGTCATTACTGAGATTGTTTAGTGCTCAGTTCCCTCTATAGCAAACCACCAATAAAGTGGTATGTTCCCGGTGGTTATTTCTCAGCCATCTTCAGAAAAGCCAGTGGTGTTATATCAAAGCAAAACTCAATGAGCAGAGTGCTTCAGGGTTTCAAAACTGTAGCTCAAGTCCATCGGCTCCTGGAGGTCTGACTTTATCCAGGGATAACATCTAGATCATCAAGAAAAATGGATGGATTCTAAGACCATTATTTGGTCTTCCACAAACAGCCCTCAAAATTTAGTTTTTTCTTTAAATCAATGGTTCTCAATTCGGGATGATTTTGTCTGCCCAAGGGAGATTTGACAATGTCCAGAGACATTTTTTAATTATCATAACTGCTAATAGGATCTAGTAAATAGAGGCCAAGGATGCTGCTAAACATCCTACAACACACAGTACGGGCCTCCACCGCAAAAAGTTTTCCAGTCCAAAATGTCAGTAGGGTTGAGGTTGAGGAACCCCAATTTATATTAATTAGCAAACATTTCCAAGTTATATCTATTAGCAAAGTCTTAGAATGTGTCCTTCATAATCTCAGTTCATAATCCATTTCTTCTATTTTAAAAATATTCCCCCCAAAAAATTAAAAAATAAAAATAAATTTTAAAAATCCAATTAGTAAAGCTTAAAATATTCTCAGTGCCAAAGTTTGAAATAGTACAGAAGTTTCTAGAGCTAAACACTTAAGTTCCCCATTAATTCTTTTTCACCATCCTCAAGATAAACTATATAAAAACATAGGTGTATTCTTTTGACTTCCCCTGTCAGCATTTACATACGTAACTATGAATTTGTATATATTTGAGTTGGGGGTCCTTGGCCCACCCTCAGGTTCAATGATTCTCTAAAAGAACTCAAAAGGACTCAAAAAAAGCTCTTATAGTTATGAATTATTATAGTGAAAAGATACAGACTAAAATCAACAAAGGCAAAAGACACAGAGTAGAGTCCAGGAGAGACCAGGCACCAGCTTCCAGTTGTCCTCGCCAGTGGAGTGGCTTGAATGGCATTTAATTCTCCCAGCAATGATATGTTACAACAGGTGGGAAGTCTTGCCATCCAGGGAAGTTCACGTGCCCCTAGGTATCTAGGATTTATTGGAAGTCAGTCAACACAGGCATTCAGCATAGATGGCTGACCTCAGCTACTCAGTCTCCAGCCCCCCAAAATTCAAACTGATAGAGCATAGCCTAGGCCTCAGGAATGTGAAAACACCTGCAGCAGGCTGGATATTACAGTGGCTCAGAGCTTATCTCCCACGACCAAGTCAAGGGCCAGTTCTCCTGAAGACCGACCTTTCCTTGGAGTGTGCAGGGCTTGGGCAACCCAGGCCTGCTGAGTCAGCCCTTTACCACACAGAACCTAATATCCATTGTCATAATTTAGGTTACAGTTTATGTACTTTTCTGTAACTTACTAAATGCACTTAACCCAGTACCTTGAAAGTCTATACCTGTCAACATTTAAGCAACAAAAAAAATAAGTGAAAAAATTTTTGAGTGCTTATAGTGTGCTCTACCTGCTCTAAATTCAGTCATTTGATTTCACAACTTAGGAAGAAATGTATTTGCAGTGTTTTAAATGCTCATGGTTTTTCATTGTGCTGTCATTCATGTTACTTCTTTCTTGAATTCCATTCACCTCTCTCCTCCCCTCTCTGAAGTTCAACCTTTGTAATTTTTCTCCTCCCCATTGGTGCTCACATGGTATATATTTCTTTCTTGCCCTATGTAAATGTATTGTACTCTCGTGCACTTACATTCCTCTCTCTGCAAGCTAGTATGCTCCTTCAGGGTAGGAGAGGGTCTTATATAAAAAGGAGTATCTAGTGCAGTATCTGACTATAGGTGCTTTCAGATAGATTGTAAATGGTTCCTAGATTAAAGGATTTCAGGATGTCCTCTTTCTCTTTTGTGAAAGAGTGAACATGTACATCAATGAATGACTGGAAGCACAAAGACAGGATATTTTAAATAAAAAATTAGTTTTTCCTACTAAGTATAATGCAACGCTAGTTATACAGAAAGCAGTCAAATGACTTTACCATAAGAAAAAGTATTATATTATACTTATCTTCATAGTATTAACCAATGATAATCCCTTTAGAAATGAATAGGAATGTTCTATTTCAGGGGTCACTGTCATTCAAGGATGTGGCTGTGGTTTTCACATGGGAGGAGTGGCAGCTACTGGACCCCATTCAGAAGAACCTGTATCAAGATGTGATGTTGGAAAATTATAGCAACCTAGTATCACTGGGTAAGCAGAGCTTTCTCAGGGTAATGTAGGCAATCAATTTCCTTTCCTTTCTCAGTGATGAAATGTGTGGAGCCTTAAAAGTACCTTACCTTTTTGAACTTGAGTTTCATATATCATAGATTTTAGTACCTTCTGGCCTCTAACAGAGTGCTTTTCTTTCAATCCCAAAGTAAAAGGCCTTTATTTGGCTAAGATCCAAGTTGTTCAGGCCTTTCAATATAACCTTCCCCATTTTTCAGAGGCCTTTTAGCCCAAGTATTTGTGTCCATGGATCCGCTATAATTTTCCTTGAGTAGGGTATCAAATTACCAAAGCAGATGCTTTCTACCAGTTGGAACATGGAACACCATGGATAACAGAGGAAGAAATCCAGAGTCAGATTCATCCAGGTGAGTGAAAAACCAACCCTGTGGCATAAATGGAAGTAAATTCCTATTTGGTCAGAAACAGGGAGGCACCTATTATTTGGAGAAATCTTGAAGTTTTTAAGCTCTGAATGTGACAGCAGGGGGGACATAAGTTCCCACATACATCAATACTGACTCCACTTTTTTTTTTAAGTAGGCTCCATGCCCAGGGTGGAACCCAACACAGGACTTGAATTCACGACCCTGAGATCAAGCCCTGAGGTGAGATCAAGAGTCGGACGGTTAACCGACTGAGCCACCCAGGTGCCCCTTGACTCCACTTTTTAATCTCTCCATATTAGGATTCTTTTGCTTGGTTTTTAAAAGAATACATTTCTGGGGGTGCCTGGCTGGCTCATTTGGTAGAGTGTGTTCAGGGTTGTGAGTTCAAGCACCATGTTGAGCGTGGAGCCTACTTAAAAAAAAAAAGTTTTCAAAAAAATAAAAGAATACATTTCCTCCTCTCATGTATTTGGATCAGATCCCACTCTAGTTCATCTTGGAACTTGTTCTCCTAATCTTTCTCCCTGGCATCCTCAGTTTACCTGCCTTCTCATCTCCATCCCCTTAATGCATGGTTATAGCCTTCTTTTCTAATATACTCAGCATTCATAAATTGTCCCTTGTCTCCACATTTTGTAGTTTATTCCATTTTTTCCCCTCCTTCCACTTAGAAATGTCTCAGACTTTCACTGTATACCCAGTCTCATTTCTTCTTCTCTGCTTGGCCTTTGCTATGGAATTCCATTCCTTCTATTTCATGGTCATTGAGGCTCATTGGTCTCCTTTCTAGAAGACACCTGGCAAGTTGATCGTCATACAAATGAGCACCAAGAAAATCAAGGCAACCTTGAAACTATGGAGAGTCACCACAAAAATAATGCATTTAGAAAAATACTGTGTCTAAGCCTAAACTTTGATGTCCCTTTAGCACAAAGATCCCATACATTTGACATACTTGGGAAACATTTGAAACCTAATGTAGAGTACATTATTCAGAATAAAAGCTATGCAAGAAACAAAGTTGAATTTAATGGATATGACAAATTATTTCTTTATACTAAACGTGAGGAAATTCATACTGGAGAAGAATATAATGAATATAATGAACATTTAAAGGCTTCCAGCCATAAGTCACAGCTTATAAAACATTGCAAAACTCAAACAGGAGAGAAACAGTATAATTGCAGTGACTGTGGGAGAGCCTTTTCCCAGAAGTCAGACCTCAGTAAGCATCAGCAAACACACATCGGAGAGAAACCCTATGGTTGCAGTAGGTGTGAGAAAGCCTTCAGCCAGAAATCCCATCTCATTTTACACCAGAGAACCCATACAGGAGTAAAACCTTACGGATGCAATAAATGTGGGAAAGCTTTTACTGATAAGTCATGCCTTAATAAACATCAGAGAACTCACACAGGAGAGAAACTGTTTGAATGTCGTATATGTCAGAAAAGCTTCAGTGGTAAGTCACAACTCACTTCACATCAAAGAACTCATACAGGAGAGAAGCCCTACAGATGTGGTGAGTGTGAGAAAAGCTTCAGCAACAAGTCACAGCTCATTATTCATCGGAGATCTCACACGGGAGAGAAACCCTATGGCTGTGATAAATGTGGGAAAACATTCCCCCTTAAGTTTAGCCTCATTTTACATCAAAAAACTCATACAGGGGAAAAACCTCATGGATGCAGTGAATGTGGAAAAGCCTTCATCCAGAGATCTGAGCTCATTAGACATCAGAGAACTCACACAGGAGAGAAACCCTATCATTGCAGTGAATGTGGAAAAGGCTTTAGTGTAAAGTCACTCCTCAATACTCACTGGAGAACTCATACAGGAGAGAAACCCTATGGGTGCAGTGAATGTGGAAAAACCTTCTCCATCAAGTTTAGTCTCATCCTTCACCAAAGAACACATACAGGTGAGAAACCTTATGAATGCAATCAGTGTCAGAAAGCTTTCACCCAAAAGTCACACCTCACTATTCATCAGAGGTCTCACACTGGAGAGAAACCTTATGAATGCAGTGAATGCCACAAAGCCTTCAGCCGGAAATCCTATCTCCTTATTCATCAGAGAATTCACTCGGGAGAGAAACCTTATGAATGCCTCCAGTGTGGGAAAACTTTCTCTCACAAGTTTAGCCTTATTATTCATCAGAGAATCCATACAGGAGAGAAACCCTATGGATGCAGTGAATGTGGGAAAACTTTTCCTATCAAGTTCAGCCTCGTTTTGCATCAGAAGACACATACAGGAGAGAAACCCCATGAATGCAGTGAATGTCAGAAATCTTTCGTCCAGAAGTCACATCTTATTATACATCAAAGAACTCACACAGGAGAGAAACCTTATGGATGCAGTGAGTGTTGGAAAACTTTCTCTCACAAATTCAGCCTCATTTTACATCAGAAAACTCATAGAGGAGAGAAATCATGAATGAAGTAAATATTCAGAAGTTGTCATTGAAAGTGAATAGCTGATTACACCGGAGTTTACATAGGAGTGAAACCTTAAGACTACAGATGTGGACACATTTTTTTTCCCCCAGACTCACACCTCATTGCTTATAAGAGAATGGTACTGGGTAGAATGCCAGACAGGAGGAAATACCTTCCTCCACACATGTCGATTGAATGTAGCCCGAGGGAACGAATAGGAGGGAACATCTGTGTGTGTCTGTATTGATTGTGAGGATATTGTTGGCATGAAATCCAGCTACACTGGTATCAGAGAACTGACACTGATGAAAAAATTCTATACTTGAATGAATCTGAGGTATCTTTTATGGGTATCATTTTATGAGGGATGTCATTTCCTGTAATTGTGACATAATAAGCAGCGTTATGGAACATTTTAAGTATGTAAATAAATACACTTGTCAGAAAACAAAGCAAATATTATATCAGAACTATGTGAGAATATGTGTTTTACATCTATTTTTATTATTAAAATGATTGTTCATAATTGGGAATTGCATGTGTTAGCATAGCAATTGTGACTCCCTAGTACACGTACTTCAATGTACACAAAACTTGCCAATAGAATAATCTGCATTGAGGCGCACCTGGGTGGCTCAGTCGTTAAGCGTCTGCCTTTGGCTCGGGTCGTGATCCCAGGGTCCTGGGATCAAGCCCCTCATCGGGCTCCCTGCTCAGAGGGAAGCCTGCTTCTCCCTCTCCCACTCCGCCTGCTTTTGTTCCTTCTCTCGCTGTCTCTCTCTCTCTGTCAAATAAATAAATAAATAAATAAATAAAATCTTTTTTAAAAAAAGAATAATCTGCATTGAATCTTTATATCATTACAGTGCTACATAAGTTGTAATTGAACTACGTGGTTCATTATTTTAGTAAGAAATCTTAATAAAATACTGAATATCTCCTCCCCTGCCATCCATTTCCTGGTATTCGTAAATGGGCCTGGAAGATTTTGAACGTTCCTTGAGTAAAATGTTTTTTCATCGACTCCATGGTAAAATTTCCCCCCCCACATAATTAACAATGAAATTAGAATGCAGCATACAGTTGATGACTTGACAGATTTTTTTTTAAAGATTTTATTTATTTATTTCAGAGAGAGAGAGAATGAGAGATAGAAAGCACGAGAGGGAACAGGGTCAGAGGGAGAAGCAGACTCCCTGCTGAGCAGGAAGCCCGATGTGGGACTCGATCCCGGGACTCCAGGATCATGACCTGAGCCGAAAGCAGTTGCTTAACCAACTGAGCCACCCAGGCGCCCGACTTGACAGATTTAAATGGAGAATTTAGTACATAAAATAATGGTGCATCACACAATCAAAGGTATCTTGGGTTGGATGAAATGCAGTAGAAGTATCTGTAATAAAGAACTTTATTTCTTCTAAACCGATCAGATAGTTAAGGTTTGAAGATAATGAGTTTTAGGGTGCCTGGGTGGCTCAGTTGGTTAAGCGACTGCCTTCGGCTCAGGTCATGATCCTGGAGTCCCGGGATCGAGTCCCGCATCGGGTTCCCTGCTCGGCAGGGAGTCTGCTTCTCCCTCTGACCCTCCCTTCTCTCATGTGCTCTCTCTCTCTCTCTCAAATAAATAAATAATCTTTAAAAAAAAACAATGAGTTTTATACCCTTTTGAATTCTAAACAGTTTGAGAGATCATCCTTGATATCAGAAGACAGAAATTAAATACTATCTTTGGTCCTGGCACTCCTTGATTGGACAATGTAACTTGTTCCTATAGTCAAATAAAGTAGGCTTCTATTTCCCCTATACTGTACAAGGTATTGGCTGGTCCGAAGGTAGTGAGTTATCTCAATTGATTGTTCACAGTTACTGTACAAGGTATGCTTCCCTTTCAAAGAGCATAAATGAAACTTTAGAGGTGTTTTTATGAATCCCTCTCCAGAATGTAGCTGGAAAGTCTCATTATTTTTCTTAAGTGGGGATTAAACTCTAAGATACAATGAGCTTGGTTTTTATTTTACAAAAGCAAGTTTCCTTTTCAAGCACAGTGATTTACATTAAAATGGGGAAATTGCAACTATAGCAGGTACCCAGTTTAAAGTGGTTGAATGTACTCAACACGACTCCATGACTTATACTAACATGAGACTCCAATAAAGACAAAAGCTACAAGGTGTTCTGCAACATGCAGGTACAGATTCCAGGGACCTTTTTCAGTCACAGAACACCATTTGTCTCCAAATCACAAGCCACCAACATATATGTGAAGTATCTCAGTTTCACGGAAATCAAGGCCTAAGATTACTCACGGGTCTTTTATACTCACTAGTCACATAGCCAAAACCAGCCTTTGAAAGAGGGGTAAATCATCCATCTCCATGTTTTCAATAAGCAATGTGGATTAGCTGGTATACCCCCACATTAAGCAGTACAATATAGCATGAGAGGGAAAACAAAAACAAAAACAAGGAGGGCTAAAATTAATCCCAGGGACATTGACAGACTTTCTATCCCAAACCCAGGAACCAATAGTCTTACACATGGGAGTTTTGCAAGTCTTGGGGGTGTGAGGGATGATAATGAAATGTCACCTACAATATGATGTAATGGTTAGCAAAATAAATACTACTGTTTTACTGTCTGCATTTCCAAAGGATTCATTCAAGAATGACTGGAAACTCTCCATTGTCCTGAATGTAAAGCCTGGGAAGTTGATGAGAGCACTGCTCTTTTGAAGACATTCTTACCTATGAGCAGCGAAAGCATTTTAGTGAATCAGGAGTTTTCACACACCTTGTCCCTCACGAACTCCCACCCCAAACCACTTTCCAACAAGAAAGTCACTGTACCTATAGGGGTTAAGTACTTCCCACCTTTCCCTTGCCATGTTCAAAATAGTAAAAGGGATCTCCGTGGGGCACCTGACTGGCTCAGTCAGTGGAGCAAGCAACTCAATCTTGGGGTTATAAGTTCAAGCCCCATGTTGGGTGTGGAGATTACTTAAAAATACAATCTTTAAAAAAAATAAAAGACATCTCCATAGAGGAAGAACCTCCCCACTACAAAGGTAGGAAATATGTGACTCATCTTTCCTCATTCTTGCCCACTATCAGCCAAACCCTATTTGCAGGGAAGTAACTGCTATCAGATAACAAGGGTTAGTAAAGCCTACTCTCTCCAGGTTAAATTTTAATTCTAAACCTAAACTTTATTAATATATTTAAAGTATCTACATGATCTTGTGAAATTGAAGGTTACATAAACTACCTCTTACTGACAAACTCACTGGTAATGTTATTTGTGACTCAATTCTATTTCACTATGATGTGAGACTGATAGCTAGTGATCATATTCCTGACCCCATCACTTCCCTCCTTACGAGCCATGGCTTGCCTGGGGTGCAAGGAAAGTATAACAGTGAGAAAAGACTACTTTTGTTATGGAATCTATCTCTTTTCACCTTGTGCTATCAGCATTATGGAGCTGGTGGAAAAACATGTCAAGACCACGTTAAAAAGAATTAAGTGTTTCATGATTTCTTCTCACTACATGGTACAGGCCCCTCCAAGTTCACTTCCCCATCCTATCATAACAGGTAACAACCCTAAAATTCACAGTGGGCTTTCAGGAGATCTGGCATGTTGAAGAAGTATGTGTAGAGGGCTTATCTGTTGATAGTCTTGTGGACCCTTGTTATTGAGTGGATTCAGGTTCTCTTGGTATTTTGACATCAAGACTTGTCCTACCATAATGAGCATCAGATTATATAAGCCCAAGGATCACTGGTTTACTTCATAATCCCTCAATCACAAAAATAACTTGATGAGCAGAAGGCATGTAGTGATGCTGGATAGTAGGTACACAGGTATTAAGAATTTTGTTTTTTTATAACATTCAAGTATTTTTTTTAAAGATTTATTTATTCATTTTAGAGAGGAGGGAGGGGAAGAGGGAGAGAATCTTCAAGTAGACTCCCCACAGAGCTTGGAGCCCAGTGCGGGCTTGATCTCAACCCACAAAATAATGACCTGAGCTGAAACCAAGAGCTGGTCGTTCAACTGAACACCCAGATGCCCCAAGACTCAAGTTCTTTAATGAAAAATGAAAGCAAGGAACACATGGTCCCAGAGAGATGTAAAAACTGCCATAAGACAGAAGGCAAAGGTATACATTTGATATTACTGACTAACCTTCTATCCCTTAAGCTGAAAATCCAGGTTGACTCACCTGTGTGAGACTTACCCCAATGTACATGGGTTGGCTTACCTATGTGAGTCTACCCCAATGTACATGGGTTTAGAAGATGTTGCAAAATACTGCCCAAATCACTGACTTGTTCTGTAATCCAGCAATTTAGTCATGAGTTCCCTGGTTTTGTCAGTGTAACTACACATTTCCAATATCTATCAGACCTTCTGATTTAAATGCTATAAAGTTTCTATGACCTGCAGTCATATGCACAATTGTATCTCCATTCTTTTTTTTAAGATTTATTTATTTTTTGAGAGAGAGCGAAGGAGCAGGGGGAGGGCCAGAGGGAGAAGCAGACTACCCTCTGAGCAGGGAGCCCAACGTGAGCTCGATTCCGGGACTCTGGGATCATGACCTCAGCCTAAGGCAGATGCCCAACCGACTAAGCCACCCAGGCGCCCCTGTATCTCCATTCTTGCTGTCATTTTCATTTTTCATACTCCCATTAGTTCAGTCCTTGTAAAGGGCTATGATAGTCATTAACGTTGGATGTTCATGGATCTTTCTCCTTTGGGATACATGGAAGAACTGTATTTGTCCATGTTTTTTGAAGTTACATATCACCATATGATCTGCTTTGGTTGATGAAGTGAAAGGGGAAGTGATTGTCACTTATCAGTAGAAGCCTTAGGAGCCAGTGTGTACTCTTCTATGTTCTGGTTCCTTCTCTCCTTATGACCAGTAATATTCCAGGTAGGAGTCATATTCCTGGGTTGTGAGTAATGACATC